AAGATTTCGGGACGGGTTGCAGGGTTTAGTGCTGAGGGCTTTTGCGCCTTGGGTTCTTGAAGGTTACCTATGATCTCCATGGGAGGTCCGGTTCTTGGTTTAACCAAATGTCAAGGATCCTATGTGAAAGGAAACCCCAACAAGGAACTACAATGGAGACTACAGCCCAGACCCCGGGAGGATCCAAAAAGTTGATCCCTTAATCGGGGTTCCTATAAAGTACCCTTAGTAGTATAGGGCCCCTAATTAGGGGATGTATTCCGATTTGGGGATTTTGGCTCAGCGTTCGGTGTCCGAAAAGCCCTGCCACTGCGCCCGGGTTTCGGGCTTCGGCAGCTAGCCTTCACGGCGAAATTCGTAAAGGCGTAAAACCCTAAACCCTACCTTAACCCTGAAGAACCTACCTTTTTAGGGTTCCCTATTATGATTTCCTTATAGAAGTCCTTAAAAGGGTAGGTTCTTCAGGGTTAAGGTAAGTCCCTCAACCAAAAGCCCTAAGCCTCTATCAAGCCCCTGAATCTTCGTGTTATTACGTTTTGGGATCAGTTTCCGAAAATCGGGGATACCTTATTTTGGGGTCCTTTTTATAAGGATCCGACTATTTAGGGTACTCTATAAGGGTCCCCTACCCCGAATGGTGCGGGTTGTAAGGCTTGTCACTGGTTCTGGCAGCCAAGCAGTTTAAGTGAATTGTCGTGCCCCTGCCTTCAGAGGGACCCTTAGGGGGGGGTAGGGGAAGGGTGGTAGGGGACTATTCCTACATCAGGATTTCAAGTATATGGGGGAGACATACCCAAACCATACCTTAACCCCCCAAGTAACCTACCATTTTTAAAGACTTTTGTAAAGAAACCAAATTAGGGAACACTAAAAAGGCAGGTTCCTTAGGGTGTAGGTAATCACGTCGCAGTTACAGCCTGATGTAGAAACCCTTACTTTCGTCTTTGCAGGACGTACTTAGGTAGGTCAGAAAAAAGCTCCAGCGCTCTGAACCTGAAACCCTATAATCCCTCAACCCTAGAATCCCTAAACTCTTAAACTAAACTCTAAATCCTAAAGCCCCCAAAACCCTATAATGCCTAAACTCTAAACCCTAAACCCCCAAAAGCCCCCAATCCCTAAACCTCCAGCAGTTCAGACCTTGAGCAGGGCCGGGCCCCGCGCATGAAAACGTCAGAGGCCCCAAAGGTTCGGCGGAAGTGCTGGCTCTGGCCTCGGTAAACCCAACCTTAACCTACCAAACCCTACAGTTCTTTTAGGTTCTTATTCGAATAGTCAGCCTTAATAAAACCCTAAGCCCCTAAACCCATACCCCAAACCCACCATCGGGGCCTTGGTGGTTTTTGTGGGGTTTAGGGTTTTGAGGGTTTGGGGATCGAGGGTTTTGAGGGTTTAGGGTTTTGGGTTTAGGGGTTTGGGATTTTGGTGGGGTTTAGGATTTTGGGGTTCAGGCTTTAGGGCTTTAGGTTTTTTGTGGGGTTTAGGGTTTTTAGGGTTTAAGGTTTCGGGGGGTCTTGGGCTTTTCTTGGGTTTAAGGCCTCGGGGGGTCTTGGGGGTTTTGTGGTGTTTCTTTTGGAGGCTTACGGTTTCGGGTTTTGTGGCTTTGAAGGCTCCAGGGTCATTTGCCTCGGGGGGTCTTGGGGTTGTTTTGGGGGTTTAGGGTTTAGGGGGCCTCTGGTTCTGAGGGTTTAAGGTTTTGGGGTTTGGGATTTTGGTGGGGTTTAGGATTTTGGGGTTCAGGCTTTAGAGCTTTAGGTTTTTTGGTGGTTTTAGGGCTTTAGGGTTTTAGAGTTTAAGGGTTTCAGTGTGCAGGGTCATGGTTTAAGGCCTAGGGCTTTAGGGTTTAGGGGTTTAGGTTTAAGTGTTCAGGGTTAGGGCTCAGGGATTAGGGTTCAGGGGCTTAGGTTTCAGTGTTCAGGGTTAGGGCTTATAGGGTTTGGGTTCAGGGTTTAGGGGTTAGGGTTTTAGGGTTCAGGGCTTAGCGTTTAGGGTTTAGGGTGACAGGACAAGCCCCCACAAGGGCTCTCAGTTCGGCAAGCTACAACAATAAGGTTTCTCGGGCAACTTCTTACAGTGCAATGATAGGGTTGCCATAGATATAGGATTCATACAACGGCTGCTTCAACCGGTTCTTGTAACGCTTTCTATCAAGGTTTCTATATGGGGGTTATCGCCAAAGTGACGTTGGCCCTGTAAAGCCTTTACACAGTTAATGTTACAATTCGTAAAACAAAAAACATCCCACAAGGCCCAATAAGGGAACACATGACAGGTTCCAAAGTCCCACATACCGAACATCCATAGTTGCGGGATGTTATAGTGTAAATACAATCAGGAACCTTTGAGAATAGTATTGGCCCCAAACCCTCAACCCTAAACCCTAATTAGACCCTAAACCCTAAAACCCCTAAACCCTAAAACCCATAAAACCCTAAACCCTAATTAGACCCTAAACCCTAAACCCCTAAACCCTAAACCCTAACCCCCCCCCCCCTAAGGGAATAGGAAATAAGCAGAAACTTCGGGGGCCATTCTCGGCTGCAGACCTGCGTGTCCTTGGTAGCAGACCTTGGCTCGAAAACTGGGTTTAGGGTTTAGGGGTTTAGGGTTTAGGGGTTTAGGGGTTTAGGGTTTAGGGTTTAGGGTTTAGCGTTTAGGGTTTAGCGTTTAGGGTTTAGGGGTTTAGGGTTTAGGGGTCTGGAAACTACGGCCAGTTCTCTGCAATGGAAACTTTAAAGGGGCCTTGATGGATTAGAGCAGGGCTCCCTTTAAAGGGGTCTATGTAAGCGTTGCTATGAGGGATCTATAAGGGTACTGTACCATAATTAGGGGCCGGAATAAGTACAGGTTTTGGGGCCCATTATACTATAATCATAATCGGGAACCCCCCAAATAATCTTGGTGATGCCCCTGTACTAGTGTCCCTCATATGGGCCGGAAAACTTTTGGCTTGACTTGGGCGTTGCATTCAGCAGCTCCGAAACCAACATCCCAACGGTACGTGGAACCCGAAAACCCTGCTCCAAAAACCTTTACTCGTTGCATGTCTTCAATTCACAGCTTCCTGGAGGTCTTATGCTCTGCGGTTATAGTGCTTCACGCGTTCGAGATGCTAAGATTGCTTAACTGCTTCGGGCACAACGCTTTGAACATCTTGTGCTGGATATCTACGGATGGCAGTATACTGCCTTGATCACAGGAAGATGAGTTTAGGGTATAACATACTGTATAAATAGATAGTATCGGAACCCTGAGGCAAACGTAGTAATTACAAGTAATTCTTGAAGTCCAGACAGTGACGACGATAACTATGATGATTGTGAGCATGTTTGCTTACGATGGTGACTCATGTGACGCGTCGGGCGATAACGACGATGGTGACGCCGATGTTGGTGATCGTGGGCATAAAGACGAGGATTACGAAGAGCTCAGCAATCAGCAGAGTTATGGTTATACAGGGCTGAGGGCTTAAAGGGTTTATAGGGCATTTGGGGGTTTTGCGGATGAAGGGTTTAGGGTATTTCCAGGGCTGGACTCGAGGCGTAGGCATATGGATTCACAGGGTTTATTAGGGCTTGTGGCATGTAGGGTTCGGGGTTTGTAGGTCTTGCACTCTTTCCATGAGACAAAGTCCGGCTGCTGCACGGAGCAAGGAGCTCAGATGCATTACGGGTGCAATTAAAAGACGACAACCCGCAATGCTGCGCAGCGCTGGACCCAAGTGAAGAAACTTTATTTGAAGCATTCGGCTTGGGGAAATGACTGTGATATTGCTGCGTCGTGGTACATGAGTACATACCCAAACTAATTACACATATATACATGCAAGCATGCATGCATACATGCAGGCAGACAGTCGGATGGACATACAGACGGACGGACAGACGAATAGGCAGGCAGGCATACAGAACAAAATGCAAACATAAGCATGTAGAACATCGGCAGTTCATATTCAACTATGTCAGACGTAATATATGTATAAATAGACATATATATATATATAGAGAGAGAGAGAGAGAGAGTTGTGTGTATGCTTGCATATACATACACCCACACACGCACATGCATATGTGTGAGAGAGAGAGAGAGAGAGAGAGTGAGATGGAGCACACAACCGCACGCAAATAGACATACACCCACATGCACATGCAGAACACCACCTGCAAATGACTGGCAGGCAGCACGTGGTTCTGTGTATACCTGAACAACATGCTGTACGGAACGGTGGATGATATAAATCCTGCATGACCTTAAGGACCCTAAACTATGGGAATAATGGCATATTCCTTTTTATGGGTAATGCAGGATTTATACCATCAACAGAAGAACCATTAAGCTTGTCAAGGCTGTAGGATAGGGCCACTGCTGTCAGCATCGCGCCGAGGGACGCCAGCGCGACAAGCGCAAAGATGTGCTAAGCCACGGCGCTTTCGTGTGGCCAAGCTTTAAAGTCTTCTGGGGGTCCAAGAAACCCGCTGGAAAATACAGTATGACTCTCTCCGCATCTGCTGCTACACACCAATGTGTGTGTGCATGCCTATGTGTATATGCGTACATACACTTACATACATCACAGACATCAACTGACACATGCCGTATACATGATGTGCAGAGAGAGGACATCCTTTCAGCAGAGCAGCTGCAGGAACGCATTTCAGCCTTCCGACAGCAGATCGAGGGCTTTTGCCTAAAGGTTGAGGTTCAGGGAACGGAAGCTCCAAACTATCAACAAACCAGATGTGGTAGTTTCCGCAAGTTAGGGGTACCTTATCTTGGATTCCTCATAAACAGGATCCTACTATTGACGGTACTATATTATGTTAATTAGGGTCCCCTATTTTCGGAAACTTCAATGTTAATGCTTCATAAACATGAGTGTACATCGGTATACATGTATCAAGTTACTTACACAGGCATGATGGGTTTGTGCACACCTGGTGCTTGCACTCTCGCTATCCGGAACTCTGGTGACATTCGGCTTTGTGCTTGAGGATCCGCACCTACAGGCCGAGAATCATCCATCCGTCATCCTCTGTGTCAGGGCTCACGTGAATCCAGCCATCTTCACGACTCAAATCAACCCAGTTCTCCTCGTCGACGCTCAAGCCATCTGCCGAGCTCACATCGACCCAATCCTCGACTTCGATGGTTGCACCTTCGTGAATCAAACTGCGATCGCCCACCTGCGTGCTGAGGCTCTCTTCCTTGGCAGTACTCGGGTACTCCACCAACACCCAGCAATCTCCAGTCGTCACCGACTTTACCGATTCGCACGCATCGCTCTTGACACTGGTGTGCTGTACTGGAATTCCTTTGCGAGACTTCGCCTCCTTGGAATGATGGATCTTCGCCTCCATCGGATTGTGAAGGAAACTTCGCTCAGGGAACGAGGAAAGTGTCACATTGCAAGTGGTGAGCAAACTGACGACTGCACCCTTGCAGGTCTGACTCTGTGCTTCTGCTCTTGTGGATTCGTTCAACGGGCTGCCATTCTGGACGCCTGCTTTGCCTTCAGGAGAGCAGGAAGCTGCATAGGAAAACACGGCACATGCTGTGAGGACTGCAAGCACGCTCATCACGTCCCGGGGGAGGAAGCACCAGGAGAAAGCAAATGTGGGCGCTTCGTTCATGCTAAGCCCATAACTGCACCCGATACTCAGAAACAAGATCATTCCAGCCCATAGCGCTTCAAGCAACATCGCGTCAGCCGCAGACTTGCTCCAGCCGCACGATTTTCCCGCTTGAAGCTCGCTTGCGAGCCATCCACACTGGCCACCCATCATGCCGAAAACATGTACTGCCTTCTGTGCTTACACTCCGTGCACTGCTGAAGTAGCGGTAGCGCAAGCTAATCTCACATGCATGTCAAAGGGCTTCGTCTGTTTGCACCTGTGCCCATATATACGAACATAATGTGTGCATATAAAGAATGTATGTAATAGCAGGGCATATCTGTAGAGGCACGCATGTAAACGCACACACCCACACACACACACACGCTTGTGTATACAGACAGATGAAACTGCTACTGATCACACATAGAAGAATAGAACGAGACGCAGCGATACAGCGCGTCGACGCACCCACACTCTTTTGCCTGCTGTTGCCTAGCCTCCTGTAACTGCGAGGCAATGGCTCCGGAAGTTAATGTTCGGGTTTGGGGATCGAGAGGATATGGGGGTTGCCGAAAATTGGGGGCACCTTTTTTTTGGGTCCTTATAGTAACGATCCTATTATTTAGGGTAATAAATTTAGTTTCACGATTTTCGGAAACTCCCATGTAGGGTTGGTGGTTCGAGAGTGGTTTCGGGTTTAGGATTGAAGAAGGACTTTGTGGCTCAGGGTTCGGCTGGAAAGGGTTCGGGGTTTGCGGATTAGACGGATTCAGCTCACTTACATGGATCGTGCGTGGTGTTATACTTCGGCAACTTATGAAAATAGTTAAAAGCCTGAAAGTATGTAACACAGATCAGCTAGCAGGCGTGAAAGGGTAGCAATGCTGATGTGCCATGACAAGGATGTTGGCGCCTGAATGCCGAAGCTCCCACAACCAAAGTAACTGGAATTTAATCCTTGTTTTGTGGAAGGGTGTGGGAGATGGGGGTAGATTATACTCGAAGCAGCTTCGGGACTATGACGGGATGTTACTGCGCCCCTACGTTGTCCAACATTACTCCAGACCAAGACTGCGGGAAGCCCACGAACCATAATCCGATCTCTGATCGCTGAAAGCTCCCTCACCAGGGCCTGCTATAGGGTTTACGGCCTAAGGGCCACCCAAAATCGACCTACTCAAAGCCGCAAACCCAAACCTTCCAGGACCCTCCATGCTCGCTCAATCCCCATAAACCCTAAAATCTGAAACCCGCTGCTAAACCTAAAACCCACAGTGGGTTTAGGGTTCAGGGCTTTTTAGGGTTTGTAAGGGTTTGTCAGGGTTTACAGTAGAAGCCGGAAAGTTGGAACATCATTAGCCTCATGCTCTTAAAGCATAGCATAGGGAATCCCAGCATGAACCATCCTCAATCTATGTTCCAACTTTCTAGGGTTCACTTTAGGGTCTCAAAGCATTAAAGCACTCAGGCCAGCAAGGCCCTCTAGAAATCCGTGGCTCGGGCTTTGTGCCGCCAAGAAGAGGGCGATGCTGTGTCCGGTACATGGTGGCTTTCTTAGGGGCCGAGTACCCCAGCCCAAAAAAGGTTAACCTTTTGAGTTATAGTAGGATTCTATAAACCCCAGAAGGTTAAAGGTTACCGGTTACCTACTCAGCTACTAAGCTTTAGACTTCGGAAGGATCTCTTGCAGGATTCTCGCAGTGGCTACACCACCCTTCATGCAACGCTCCTAAGTCGTTGAGCCCCTTACCTTTGGTTAGCAGGGAATGAGGAATGGGGGACAAGTGTAACTACTATTTCTTTTTTCCAAAGTCCCTTGCCTTCTTAGGCAGAAAAAAGTGAGACCGTGGGCACGAGGGGCGGCTTAAAATTGGCGGGTTCTGGAGTCTTCGAAAATTCGTTGGTTTTGCTTACATCTACTATTACTACCCTTCTTCCACTCCCTACTAGCCAAAAGTAAGGCCCTAGGGTTGAGAGTTTTCCCAGAGGCCCCATAGTAGTTCCTTTTTGGGATTACCTAATAGTATTCTATATCGCCCTACTTGGAGGTTCATGGGTAGTTATAAGTGGGCTCATAAGTCCCCTGATATGGCTTATAAGTATAGTTACCCTACTTATAACCCTATGAACCTCCAAGTAATGCTTGTGTTATCGAGCCTGGAGCGCCTTCTGGTTCAGGGTCCATGTACCCAAATAGAGATACATGAGCCCCAACGTACCTATATAGGGACTACATTAAGGCCAATGTATATACTATATGGGAGTTTCCGAAAATAGGGGATCCTTATTATAAGGGCCCCCAAAATAAGGTACCCCTAATTTTCGGAAACTCCCATATCCTCTATAGATCCCTTATAGATCCCTTATAGAACCCTTATAGCAACCCTTAAAGTACCCTTAAAGGAACCCCTAGTTAGGTACATTGACACTTAGGGGTTGCTTAAAGACTGACTTCCTCGACCTCCGGGCTGCTGTGAAACGGTTGCTTTACCTGTAGTCTCCATTGTAGTTCCTTTTTGGGTCCGCACGAGGTGTAGGGTTCAGGGATTAGGAGTTCAGTGGTTTAGGGTTTGGCTGCATCATCATACCCTTAGAGCTTTGGTCAGCCAGTTTTATGGTTAGGACCCTATAATAGAGATTTTGGTTAACCCAAAAAAGGAACTACAATGGAGACTATAGGTAATTCAGGGAATATAGGGGCCTTACTAATTACGAGTAGATGGGATTCTAGGGCAAACTATGCTATAGATGTTTTTTAAAGCATCGCAGGGTAATATTGGGAACTTTTTAGGCATATTTAGGCCCTTATATTGCCCAATGTTAGTTCGCTGGGAATGGCCCCAAAAGGGAAACCATGACCTAGAACAAACCTGAACTGAACGTTGCTCGGTGTCGGGACGGAGACAAGATGTGGGGAGGCTGGACATCCTTCATTTTTAGGTTTTAGGGCTTACGGCCTTAAGGTTTGAGGTTTATAAGATGAAAATTCTTAATCCCAAGTGGGGATAGAACTGGCTGTTTATGCAAACACTTGCTGCTTATCCTCCGGTAGTTGTGCTTTTGCATGCATATCTCAAAAATGAAGCATTCAATAGAGACTCGTTTCCAGCATTCAAATGCTCGTCTATGCGCCTGGTAAGCTACATCAGAATCATCACTAGCTCAACCAGCCTGCAAGTAAGAAGGTGATTGGAACGCAGCCCTAGACTTAACCCGAAAGCCCCCAACTCAAAGCCCTTAAACCCTACCTTAACCCTGAATGACATACCTTTTCGGGTTTCCTTTATCATGATTTCCTCATATAAGTCCTAAAAAAAGGTAGGTTATTTCCTTGACCTTTTGCGCCGAACCAGAACCACAGGGTTTAGATCAACAAGGCTTATATGAAAGGAACCCAAAATCTTATTTTTGTTAGTGGTTGGCTTTATTTGTGTTTAAAAGCTTTTTTCTGTATTTAAAAGTGTTTTTTTGTATTTAAAAGTTGTTTTTAATATTTTTTTGTTTTTAAAAGCTTTTAAATGTCTATTTTTCTGGTGTAAAAAATATATTTTTGTGAATTATAAGTTTTTGTTTGTGATTGAGTCAAACGGCTTCCTGTTGTTCTACCTGGTTTCCTGCAGCTGTACGTCTACAAATTTGTTGTTTATTTGCTTTTGAAGTTATTATTTCATCAATATAAATATTTTTGGTTGTGATTGAGTCAAATGATAAATGGCATTCTGCTGTTCAACCTGGCTTCCTGCTGTTCTACGTCTACAAATTTGTTTGTATTTGTTTTCAAAGTAGTTTATCAATTTAAGTTGGGGGTTGTGATCGAGTCTAAAGGTTTAGGGTTTCCTTGACATGCCTTCCCCACATGGATTCGAGCGGTGCAGTGGTGTGTCGTACAGTAGTAGTACAAGTAATAGCACAGTAGTAATGCAGGAGTACAATAGTAGTACCATATTTAGTAGTACAGTAGCAGTGCAATAGTATTACAGAAGTACAGTAGTAAGAGGGTAGTAGTAAAGTGGTAGTACAGTAGGGGTACATTACAAGGGTGTGGGAGTACCTGGAGCTGTTTAGCGGGGTGTGGGCACGACCAAAGTCCAAACCACGATCACTCCAAGATACCAACACTAAAACCTTTTATGTTGAAAACTTTTTCGTCCGGCCTACACTCCTGTACAGCAGTGCATTAGTATTGCAATAGTACAGTAGTAGGACAGTCGTAGAAGAGAAATACAAAAAATCAGTCGGCCCAACAAAGAACGCACTAGTCATTAATTAAGCCACCATTTTTTTGATACAGCCCGAATAAGCACAGGAAGCACGCATCAACTAGGCACACCGGGCCAGAAGGACCCTCACATTAACCTGTATTAGTGGGGTGATGCTATTAGTCAATTTCAGTATTCGCATGCGTTTGGCATGTTGCTACTTGTTTGTGTTTGCTTGGTGACTGTTTTGTGCAAGTCTGTTGTTGTGCGTCTTGGCTCAAAACTTCTTCACAAGAAAGCGAATCACAACGTCGCCTCCTGCTTGGAAGCAAAACAAGAGAAAACCTGGCTCAGTCTGGTCAAGTTTGTTTCGGTAATGTTTTTTCAAAAAAGGAGAGCCCAAATTTAGGAAAAGGGAAAAGCAATCCACACTGGGGTGATTGAGCCGGGGACTGGCCATCCCCCCCCAGCCCAGCCCAATTCCAAGATGCCGCATCGTCAGCCCCAGCCAGCCCCAGCCGACCCCACCCCCCCCCACCCGACCCACCCCCTACTTTCGGGGGACACCCCTTGCGACTTGATGATTTTGGTATGGGGACAGGCACCGGACACCCCTTGCGAGCTGCGAGTTTTTGGACAGCCGTAGGGGGAGCCCTTGCGGCTCATGATTTGGGAACCTATTTTTAATACAACCTGCAGGGAAACACTCTTTGCGATCCGTGATTTTGGGATCCGCGTTTCTTCAAAACCTAATGGGACACCCCTTGCGGGCCCCAGCCCCCAACCCCAGCCCACCACCGCATCTGTTGGCAAAATCTGGCGGAAGTGAGCCGCGACCGAGCAGAAAGCCTGTAAATACCGCGTTAAAACAACGGCCAGGGATCCCACACATCTGCGGGCAAAATCTGGCGGAAGTGATCCGCCACCGAGCAAAAAGCCTGTAAATACCGCATTAAACAAAGGGCCAGG